GGCTCCAGGGCCGGGAGGGGGGCAGAAGAGTTTCCCTGGTGGTGCCCAGAGTGGCCACCAGGGCAAGCTGGGGAGGGCTAGCCTCACACTAGTTCGAATTAAGTGGCTACACAGCCCTTAATTCAAACTAGTTAATTCGAGCTAGGCTTAGTCCTCGTAGAATGAGGTTTACCTAGTTCGAATTAAGCGCTCCGCTAGTTTGAATTAAGTTCCAACTAGCAGTTTGCATGTGTAGCGCCTATTAAAGTTAATTCGAACTAACAGCTGTTAGTTCGAATTAACTTTGTAGTGTAGACATACCCTCATTTAGCTCCAATTTAACCCTAAATGTCTTCTAACAGCCCAGAACACTGAGAGCCTCGACTAGTGGTTGTAAACAAACTTTCTGGGACCGTGAGAAACTTGGCCACACCCATAAGTGGACATCCGGCTAACTACAATCATGATGAACCACGGATGTCATACCAGAGAATGCCAGACTAGAGAGGTTCAACCTGTACCAGGAAAAGTGCAGTTTTGCTGATCTAATCTGTGTCCACACACTAGGGGCTCGTCTACACTGGCCCCTTTTCTGAAAGGGGCATGTTAATTTCACAGGTCGTAATAGGGAAATCCGCGGGGGATTTAAATATCCCCCGCGGCATTTAAATAAAAATGTCCGCCACTTTTTTCCGGCTTTTAGAAAAGCCGGAAAAGAGCGTCTACACTGGCCCCGATCCTCCGGAAAAAAGCCCTTTTCCGGAGGATCTTATTCCTACTTTGAAGAGGCATGCCAAGCCGGAAAAAAAGCGGTGGCTTTAAATCCCCCGCAGATTTCCCTATTCTGACTGGCCTGCTTTGCATGCCTCTTCCGGAGAAGGGGCCAGTCTAGACGTACCCTAGGAGCTTTTTGCTAGTACAGTATACCGATATAGCTATAAGCAGGGCTCGACAAATAATACAATCTACTCGCCCGTGGCAAGTAGATTGTAACCGGGCGATCTGGGCATGCGCAGATCGCCGGACAGTGCGGCTGGCGAGCGGGGCTCGCCGCGGTTCGGCAAGCCCTGACTATAAGAACATGAGAACAGCCATACTGGGTCAGACCAAAGGTCCATCTAGCCCATTATCTTGTCTGCCGACAGTGGCCAATGCCAGACGCCCCACAGGGAGTGAACGGAACAGGTAATCATCAAGTGATCCCTCCCCTGTCACCCATTTCCAGTCTCTGACAAAGAGAAGTCAGGGACACCATTGCTACCCATCCTGGCTAATAGCCATTGATGGACCTAACCTCCATAACTTTTATCTAGTTCCTATACACGTGCGTGGGTTATCTAAGACTTTTTTAACACAATCAGGAAAACCGCAGGTTATGCATCGGTGCAGGCAATGCATGTGCATGGGTTATATATGCTAATTTACGGTAGTTTCATTTGGTAGCCCCTAGTTATTATATTATGGGAACAAGTAAATAACTTTTCCTTATTCACTTTGTTCACACCACTCATGATTTTATAGACCTCTATCATATCCCCCTTAAGGTATGTCTACACTACAGAGTTTTGTCAGAAAAACAGCCGTTTTTCTGAAAAAACCTGCAAAGGATGAATATAGGCAAGCAACACGGGAATGCAGGGGCAAGATTAGAAAGGCAAAGGCACAAAATGAGATCAAACTAGCTACAGGCATAAAGGGAAACAAGAAGACCTTTTATAAATACATTAAAAGCAAGAGGAAGACCAAGGACAGGGTAGGCCCACTGCTTAGTGAGGAGGGAGAAGCAGTAACAGGGAACTTGGAAATGGCGGAGATGCTCAATGACTTCTTTGTTTCGGTCTTCACCGAGAAGTCTGGAGGTGTGCCTAACGTAGTGAATACAAGCAGAGAGAGGGTAAGTTTAGAAGATAGGATACACAAAGAACAAGTTAAAAATCACTTAGGAAAGTTAGATGTCAGCAAGTCACCAGGTCCTGATGAAATGCATCCCAGGATACTCAAGGAGCTGATAGAGGAGGTATCTGAGCCTTTAGCTATGATCTTTGAAAAATCATGGCAGACAGGGGAGATTCCAGAAGACTGGAAAAGGGCAAATATTGTGCCCATCTATAAAAAGGGGAATAAGAACAACCCAGGAAATTATAGACCGGTCAGTTTAACGTCTGTCCCAGGGAAGATAATGGAGCAGGTAATTAAGGAAATCCTATGCAAACACTTGGAAGGTAATAAAGTGATAGGGAATAGCCAGCATGGGTTTGTGAAGAACAAGTCATGCCAAACTAATCTGATAGCTTTCTTTGATAGGATAACGAGCCTTGTGGATAAGGGAGAAGCGGTGGATGTCATATACCTAGACTTTAGTAAGGCATTTGATACGGTCTCGCATGATATTCTTATTGATAAACTAGGCAAATATAACTTAGATAGGGCCACGATAAGGTGGGT